TTGAGAAAGATCCTGGTAGAATTCATCCTTGATTTCAGGTATACTGCAATCGGTCGGTGCGACGCCGATACGACGAATAAGCATCGACGCTTCATTCTGTAGCTGTTGACTCGAACTGAACGGTTGAGACGTAGACCGCACAATCGGCTACTGACTGGAATCCAGGCAAGAAGCGAGCGCTCAGCCTTGGCACTTATGCAATCCCGACACCAGCAACACCGCGAGCTTCGGATGACGAGTCGCCTGACACACGAAGGGTGAGGCGTAAGGTTGAGGTTGGATCAGGAGAACACAGAGAGATAATGGAAGAGGGGTCTTGTATGCGTATTTCGGAGACACAGCTACATTGAAAGTTTCGAGGGTTCTAGCCAGGGCAGCTTGTTGGCCAATCTGATAGAGCGTGCGAATATTGAACGCGGTTAAGTGAAAAGGGGATTGTGGCTTTAAGAATCCTATAGCTTCTGAATCTCTGGCCTTGATGGTAAAACGCCCAGTGATATTCGATGGGTGGTGTAAACAGGAGGTATCTGGGATTATTCGGGGTTGAGAAGAAGAACTAGACAGAGGGGAAGGATGGTTTTCCAAATGGGTGTCTAAGACTTTAAGGCGCGACATACTTTGCGGTAGCCCACACCGACGAAATGACCTTCAACTAAATGCAAGATCTTACTAAAAGATTGGCAAGAGGCTGTATTATGACTACAGATGGTGTCAATGGCAATCAAGGCTCCGTGAAATCCGTTGTTCGAATTCTGTCATCGGCCACCACCCGCTACTTTAATGATAATCAGGTTAGCTGTGTAGTAGATCATTAATCAGTGAGACGCGCCGATTACAACAGAAGAGTTAAGACGAATTGTAGGCTTCAATCAACTGAAGAATAGAGCATATTGCTTCAATAGAAAAGAGGGTGGAAACGAATGTACATAATAAGCTATCGGCTAACCTTTTTGGGCTGAAAGCAGTTTCCTCAGTCAGCTTTGAACAGAACTCGACAGGGCAATGTGCATATCCCACTATGGAAATTAGCTCGACCAACGCAACGCACTGTACTGCAAAGCAGGAGGTGGTTTTGCCACGGAATTTACTCTGAGCTGAAAAGTCTTAACTTTGTCGTCGTCGTTCTTTACATCAAATCCCGTCTTCTAACAACCTTCGTGGTTGGTAGAAGACACAGAAGGACAAAACAACGAACCGAGAGGAGTGGCGTTTTTGTAGTCAGTTTTCATCAAATCAGAGTGCTTGAAAGAGTATAATCGTGGTTGTATTGTGTGGTTTGTCTGATCTAACCGACTCACATCCCTTTTCTCTCACTAAAGAAAACATTCCCTATGTTTCTGCTTAGTATACTATATCAACCTGTCAGCGGTCAGCGAAGTGCACCTAATGTGGGCGATGATAGCCTGTCTTTTTTGTTAGAGATGATAAATGATGGAGTTGCGGTTATTTGACTGCTGAATATGCACCTCTCGGGGGTGTATAAAGCGATTGTCTGACTTGAGTTTTGTGATCTATCTTGGATAAGTATTGAAATTTGTGGCAAATCGCTGCTCCGGGATAGCGAGATCAGAGAGTAAACTGAAAAACGCATTCGAACACACTTCACAATGAGAAAACTCACTCAGAAGCTAGATCACCGCAAGCTATGGTGACCAAGTAGCTGGGGATGGGAATTGTTTGCTCGTAGTGGTAAACCATCCACTGATCTCCACGATCGGACACAGACGGTTGTTTGGTCCGTACACCACCCATGACCACGACAGCATCTTTAGGTGCATGAACCTGACCACATGAAAAAGGATGAAAAAGCAAGGAAAGACTGAAGAGAGTACCGATAAAAGTGCAAACAAATCACGCAAGTGAAAACACATGGGAATAATCTTACCACAGCTTCAAATGTGGCCTTCACCGATGGAGTGTCTTGGCACGGGAACAAGCTGCGTGCATGGATTGCCTGACATTGACTAAACATAAACGGAAGTTTTCGATCGGCGGTCAATTCGGGTTCCAGCCATTGAAGTGCAGACGAATTTGGTGACGTTCTGTAGCTTATTTCTACATCAAACCTAGAGAATACAGATTACGAGAACAGTCAACGAATCACAGATGGCACAAATTGAATACACAAAGAAAGCAAAACGAATACGCAGGAGAAAAACAACTTTCATGCAGCTTTCAGAATGGGTGACCGCAGTGAGACAGCGAGACGTGGTTGGCTGCTCACCGTACCTAGTTTCGTCAACCACAAAACACAGGACAAACGATCTTTCACATTCGTGCAGGACAAAATTTGAACTTATATATATTCACAACGAAATCACATCCCATTGAATGGAATAAATAATTAACTGATCAGTTTTCAAAAGGGGGTTGTTCAGTTCAGTTTCAGTTTGTATAACCACCAACCATGCAATTTCGTGCACCGGTTTTGGTTGCTTTTTGGATCAAGCAATAGAAGAAAGGCAGGAAAGTTGAAAGTCGAAACGAAGAGAAAATGGAGAATTTCAGTGGACTAAGGTGGCATACAAATTGAGGTGCACGAACGCCACTGTTTACGACACTAAGCCATAACACTCAATGTCTCTAACCATTGATTTCAATGACCCCGAGGGGCTGTGGTGGTGATGGTGGGATTTGAACACAACCAATGGGTCGATCTGGTAGTGACTCGAGCAGCTACGTAAAGTCAATTGTCAACCACCTGGTCTTCATACTTAACTGGATAATCTTGACCGTTGAAAATATACTCCAATGAATGAAACCTCAGCGCGACCAATTAGGTTGGAGAAAGATGATTAGGTGACAACAAAGAAAGAGAAACAGGTTGAAGAGCACGATTATTCATAATAATAATAATAATAATAATAAAGTGTTGCATGTACAAATGCCGCGTGCAAACAACAACAGAAATCGACAGAAGAAATGGCAATCACAAAACTGAGCATATTTGAACAAGACAATTACAACAGGAATAGGGTAAAACGGAAGTCTGGATATTGGTTAACTATGACTTCTCTTGGGTCAAATCGAGAGTAGTGTAGGTCGGATGGTGTGAGAAATGCCACTTACTGTGGTTCGGAGATTGGCACGGTAATATCCAACAGAGACCCCAGTACGGAGTGCTTATGTGGGGCAACCGACCACTTGGCATCGTGGCCTTGAATTTTAACTGAATGAATTGACAATTCGTTGCAATCTAAAATCTGATGAAGTGAAAGAAGCAAAAAGTAAGTCGGCTTTTTAAATAGCTGATACGCTAAATTTGTCCGTCCTAATATATGCATAT